TATTGTAGTTTTTACTTACTATACATTTTATTAACTTTAATGAAATATGTGGGTACCTTGCAATTATTTTAATCATCAACACAATCGTCTTCGTAATTTTGTCCGATCCAATAATTCAAATGTTATTGTTCGATAACAACGATTTTACACTTGTATAATAATAACAAAGAAGTAGGATGAAAAAAAAATATGCATTATAACACATACATTTTTTTTAAGCCATTGATCATCTAATCAAATTTCAAGCAGAAATAGATCATCAGATGAAGGAACATATTATTTTGTATTTTTATTTTATTCTCCTGGAAAAATAAAAAAATACTACCTATGTATTCCATTTTTAAGATTTATAAATAGGATGTGACCCGGTGTGTTTTTTATGAATTTAAATTAAGCACCTAATTATTTGTACACATTTAAAACAGTATGGTTTTTTTTCATATTTTTTGTAAACAATTAGTTAGATACTTTCACTAAGCTATACGTGTTTTAGAAATTATTGTAATTAACATGTATTTAGAAAGTAAGTTTAAGTGTTTTAGTCTCATTACAATATAAATAACATGGATAATGAATATTTGTGAAGCTGTGGTCATATAGGCACATTTTTAAATTTTTACTATGTCTTAGTTATTATATAAATATTATAATATCGCACTGTCGTACATCAGTGTAATAACTCAAAATATAATATTATGTTTTTACTAACTAAAAACAAATAATATATAAACGTGATTTCTCATTGTAAAAATTATGTTTTTGACTTTTATGCACTTTGAAATATTTTACTCATTTTAAATACCTATTAATATGAAATATAATATCCAAATTGATTCGTTGCAAATTTTACGAGCATTTCATCATTGAGCGAAATCGTTTTTTGTGTTCCGAGTTACTATAGTTCTCATATAATATTTTATGTATATATCTATTACCTACTATATTATAATATAATATTGACATGTGTGATTTATGAAGTATTATGCTAATATTATACTGATATTCCTAAGCTTAGTTTATTTTCACTGTTTTAACAAACCATCTCAAATACTTCTATATAACACGTAATTAAGGGTAATGGATATTTAAAACAATTTTGTCACTTGGATATAGTAAAGTAGATAGGTATAGGTGTGGGTAAAATAACTGTTTGGGTGATTTAGCTGCCAGGATTATCTTCAAGCTTGTGATGGATTGTTTTTGTCAGTCGTCACAATATTACTGCATTATATAAGTAAATTATTCTCACAATTATTACTAGTTACAACATATTTTGCTATTGTTATCATTTAATTTACTATAATAATAGTATAGAATATAACGAATTACAACAAATCGTAGTTATATAATACATTTTAGTTCGTGTTTTTATAATTCTTCTATTTTACATGCAATTGTACGAATATGAAGTATATTATATACCTATTAATCACGGAAAAAAAATAATATATATAAAATATCAATCAAAAACAATAATGCCCATTGTTCAAATTTTCAAATTAAAATTAAAAACTTTTTTTATACCTATTATAATATTGTAATATATCCACCTGAATTATTTCAACGATTGGTTTGTGGCCAAGTTTAAGGCAATAATAGTAATATTATGAGAACTGTTAGGAGGTCATTTATAGGGATTTACATCGGTGTTATTTTTATACGGCGTAGGTAACTTTGTATAATTTTTTTAAGTAAAATATCTTAAAATAAAGGTTTTTTTTTTAAATATAGGCACCAGCTGCAATATATCGATTAAAAGTCGAGCATAACTTCAAAACTATTACCAGTCATCTCGAGAAAGTAACAGTAAATACATTAATTTATTATACGATTTTTTTGAAGTTTGGTAAAAATGAGTTAATTAATTTACGCATATTTTTTCCATATTATTATTCAACCTAATACAAAGAAAATATTATGTTAAAATATAATTACTCAACATTTTAATTCAATACTTACGTCTTAAATATTTTCATTTAATATTATTAAGATATAAAAGCTTTAGAATGTATAGAGAGAGTCACTACCGTAACATTATGTTCCACTGCACCGACCTAGCTGTTTTTATATTATAAACAACACTAAACTTTTCAGTGATTGTATACATTTAAAATGTTATAATTTATACATTTGAAATAAAATACAAGAAAAATGAATCCTTTGATTTTAGTGCTATGACCATTGACCATTGTGACGTTAAAATATATAATAAGTGCACATAAATAGGATTAATAAATATTTTATACCGTGGTAGAAGTACGCGCAATAAAACACTAGAGATGGCCAATATAGCATTACGCCATTACATAAGAAGATACACATTTTATATTGTACACCTTTATTATAGCGGAAAATCAATAGAGAACCTACACCATTCCCTTAATATCGCTATAGAATTATTTTGTTGTCCATCGAATCACATATAAAAGATAAAATAAACCTTTATAACAAGTAGTAGGTGTCTTGCCAGAAAGCGTATACCTATAATATGTGTAGGTAACGTCAATGCAATATAAATTACCTATAACAATCCATCTTAAAATATACTTTAGCATGGTATTAATTATTAGTTTTTAAATGTATTAATTATTAAACTGTAAAGAGAGCGAACGATTATATTATTATTACTGTTCCAATAATTATTATAATTAAAAAATAAGAAACAATGTGTACGCCATTTACATACTATAAAATAAGATTCGGTGTAAAATCAAAACTTCAGAACCATTAGACAGGTAGAACTGTAGAAGGAACCTATCTAAAACGGAAGTATGGAAGACATAATATTATTATATTAACCAACTCTCAGCCTTCGATAAATTAATCATATTGCCCTTACGGTGTAAGTCCAGTGTATATTTACACTGGATAGGTAATTCATAATGCATGATGAAGTACTGAAACATTCATTATCCCGAGGTACTTTAACTTAGTAATTATCATGAGGAAATGAGACAACCTGTTAATTAATCGATATATTATCTTCAGATGCGTTAAAAATATCATTGATACTTAAATGGATGGTTGATGATTAAATGTTTGTTAGAATAGGTACCTATCTATAATCTATACTGTCCAATTACTAACACTTTATAACTATTATAAATAACAGAAATATATAAAAATATAATAGTCAAGGTACCTACGTAAAATACAATAGATACTTAATAAGTCATAAACGCAATACATTTAAATAGCCCATAATAATAATACTATATGCTGTAAACATATTTGAAAAATTTAATGTCATTTAATTTATTCATGTTTTTATTATTATATTATTCATTTTTTAATATCATATTGTAAACTGTATCGTCATTTCCAATTTTATTTATTCTATCCAAACGTAAATTGCACTTAATTTTATTTTTTCACTGATGAAAATACAATTGAAGGGAGAGCAATAATTATTTACAATGCATTCTTAACTAAATAAAATATACTTTGAATGAGGCCCTTTTTATTTATAAAACTGTGTTTGTTATAAAATTCAATTATTGTGGTAAATTTAATAATAAAAAATGTCATTTCATGTCCTTATTACTCTTTCTGTAAATCCAATGATCTCAAAAACTCCTTGATAGACACAATAATACAAAAACTTTATCCCTACTGAACAAAACACATTTAGCACTGCCCTGTATAACTCAGTTAAATGATTATTATACTTCACTTGTCATAAGTAATATGGTTTATGGTCCATCGCTGTCGTTGTAAATAACACATTTTGGTGACCCGTTAGTCGTCGGTAAATCCCCTGAAGATACACAATTATTTTCGAGATATCTTCATAGACTCAATTTTATAACAATATGAAGGTTAGTTAATCAAGAACTAGATATAATTATATCAAATTTTTTTCTAATTATGTAATTTAATCTCATATTTATGTATATTGTAGGTACTTATCATTAATTACTTTTGTTGATTTTGTGTAAATGTATGAATGTTGAAGTCTACTTTTCATAAAAGGATCCACGAATACAGGGTTATGGAGACACGAAACACAAAAAAATAACAAATTAAATAAAAACACTTTTAACATACAATACGCGTGAAACAATATTATAATTAATGGAACATTTTCATTTGAAATTTAATCAAAGTATTGATCAATTTTAGTTTTAAACCACAAGCATAATATTATTATTTATTTCGTTCTCAATTTCGATGTTTTAATTAATAAAAATGGGTACCTATACATTATAGTATTTTATTTATGTAACTATATTTGGTGATCGTCCAGAAACAATCGGACACCTATGCTTTTAATTCCTACTCGACTAGGCTGAAAGAAAAAAAAATATTGTACTACTTTAGTAGTTTTAAATTATAATTAATAGGTAATAAAGGCACCACTGCAATAAAACTATACAAATATTATTTGGAAGTTTAATTTTTAGATTCTGAAAGGAGTGGTAAGTAATCGGAAAAAAAAGAACGACAAAATTGTAGTTAAATATCTATAAAATGTAATGCAAGGTTTCTCCTAAGTTATTAATACTATGTCGTGTAGAGGTTTTGAAGATTGTCTAGAGGCTGGTGAGGTCGTCTAAGTTCAGCTAGGTCATCTGCATGTCGGATAGGTTTATTGAGGTCTGGGAGCTCTTCTGGAGGTCGGGGAGGTCACTTGAGGTTTTCGAGGTTGTCCGAGGTCAGGTTGTTCGTTTGAGGTCGGAGAGATGGGTGAGGTCGTCTGAGGTTGGAGAGGTCGTGTTAAGTCATTTAGGTCGTTTGTTGTCGGGGTGGTTATCAGGAGGGCTGGGATGTCGTGTAGAGGTTGGGGAGATCGTCTAGAGGTCGGTGAGGTCATGTGAGGTCGGGGAGGTCGTCTGGTGGTCGGGTAGGTCAGCTGAGGTCGGTTGGTCGTTGAGGTCGTATTAGGTCATTTAGTTCGCTTGGGGTCGGGGTGGTTGTCTGGAGGTCGGGGATGTCGTGTAGAGGTTTTGAAAAATGTCTAGAGGCTGGTGAGGTCGTCTGAGTTCGGCTAGGTCATCTGTATGTCGGTAGGTTGTCTGAGGTCGCGGAGGTCACCTGAGGTCGGCGAGGTCTCTGGAATATCAGCTAGGTTGTTTGAGGTCAGCGATATTCCAATGCGACGCGTGGGAAAATTGGCGGGTCCAGACGTGTGGCGAACTGGAGGTGGAGGAACTCCGAGCGGACAACCTGATCCAACTTATGACATCAACCCCAGAAAGGTGGAAGCTGATCGTTAGGCTGGTGTCTAGAATCATGGTCACCAGAGAGAGGGATGAACGGCGGCGCCAACACCAGCCACGGTGAACCAGAGTGCACCCCGATATCAACTTAATGTAAGCTAGTTAAGACCTCTATATTGTAGTCGGAATGACAAGTTTGAGAGGATAGAGCCTCTCGTTTATTGTATATCAATGTTAAGGTTGTTTCTAGGGGTTTGTCCTAGGATTCAACCTACCGTTTTGTGTACTATATTTTGTGTTAAATAAACGATGGTGGCTCTCTGTCTACCCCCGAAGTAATTCCAGCGGAAAGTTCCGGGGGTAGCAGAGGCGCTCAGCCGATAAAAAAAAAAAAAAAAAAAAAAAAAAAAAAATACTTATTACTTACAGAAACCTAAACATTTTAAAATTATGTATGCAACATTTTTTTTGAAAGACATTTTAAGTTCACAGGTTGACTTGGTAGAGCAGCGACTATCACTGACCATCTGTTGTCGGAGCATCCAGTGATGATATGGGATGGGTCTCACCCATGGAGGGCCCAAGTGGGGTTCTGGTTCGATCGATAATACATGACTCGTGTTCTGATAAGTGGCAAGGTTCATTGATTGGACGGTGAGTAGCGAGGTGAATGAGGTTCTCGTCAGGGGGTTCGTTACCTTGGCACTAGGCGGTGCATTGGAAAATTCAAGACCTGCACTATGGAGCAGTAGAGTTGAAAATGCAAACCTGGGGATGTCCAGGAAAGGAATCCTCTGCGGGCACTTAGCCCAGATCTGGCCGACGACCTGCCCCAGAAAAGGAGTGATCTAGAAGTGATTTTATTATTTTTTATTTTTTAACCTATAAACACTTAAAAAATATTAGTAACTAATTAACTACCTATGGTTTCTTTTTTTTAAATGTAATATTGTGTTCATTTTTATTTTTGGGATGTACGGTCAGTGGTTAGTATGTTTAGCTTTATAATAAAATTTTTTATAATTTATATATTAACTTCTTATACCAAAATGTACAACTAGTTGTAATGTTTTTAAAATATTGCCAAGATGTGAGTTCAATAAGAATTTATATAGACGCGTTGTAGTTATTTTAGTTGTAGTGTATTTTAACCTTATGGTAGGTTTCTAAATTGTTTTGGTCATTAATTTATTTTTCTTGGAGTGAGTAAGAGAGATCAATAGAGAAAAAAGAACGACTAAGAAATGTAAGAAGACTTTAACGGATAGTTGACATTACATCTAACATAATAAAGATAAACCATCGTGGCCCATTGAGTTTTATTTTCAGTCAGTTACGATGGGAATTGGCCGTAACACGTTTGGAACAAACTATTATAATATCGCGGGGCGTACGGAACAGTTATTTCACATAGCCACAATATTTTCCAATTATTTACCCCATGTGGTGGATATTTCTGGTTTAAAATGTAAGCTATCCGAGAGAGTGACTCTTATCAGACTTGTAAGCTGTGAAAAACTGAAAAAAAACGTCTTCTTCTTTTCGGTCTAATGTTTTCTAAAAACTGCGCCAGAAACAGTCATAAACCTACAGAAATGGGCGGTACAACAACATTATGGCCAGTCCAAATTGGTTGCATTTAAGATAAAATGGAACAAGAGCGGGACCGTTTAAATGCTAACGAGCATTTTGCATGATACTGTCATTGCTTTATTTTTGTCCGGTAATATAATGACATTATAAAATAGAATTTGTATTAAAGGGCTACAAGTAAAAACATGTCCCTACAAATTAATGATATTAAAACAATAATTTCTGGCTGTGATTTATTGTATCACCATTTAGATGTAGACAAAACAATATAAGTATAACAGGAGTTAGGATACGTTGAAAATGCTAATAATAAATTATAGTGTGATATAATATTTTTTTGTGACTAGATTTGTCTTAGTAAAAGTATCCAGACGACCAGACTATAAGTTATAGTTTTTTGAGGTGTTAAAGATTCTAAAATCACGTATGAGCAGCATAAATTCAATTTTAATTTATTGGATATAATAGTGAGATTCAAAAAGTTTAAATGGTATTTACTATTTCCCAATCTAACATTATTAGATTTTTAGATAATCAATTATTTTTTCAAGGTATTCAATAAACTGGAAAAGACTAATGGATATAGTAATATAACATGATGTTGGGGTTCCAGGCGTTTTACCAGGTTAAAAATCAATTTTATATTATTGGAAATGGCCATTGTTGAGGTTAAGTTGGGTGGAAAATATAAAATATGGACTATGCCAGTATATATATAATATATAAATGAAAAATATAAACGATATAGCTACTCGAAGATTTCTTACTGTGTAATTCTTACATTTTTATATTAGAAAATGTGAATATGCATTGTTGCATCTACTGTATGTATAGGTATATTGTTAACGTTGTTTTAGTTTTATTGCATCATTTTGAAATTTGAATAGATTTTTCACTATAAAAGATTGTATACGTCATAGTGAGTGAGAGATAAACGTTTTAAATTATTGTCTATATTTTTTAAAAAGTGATTGTGTATTTAATGCTGTGCTATTTTTTTTTTGAAATATCAACAGGTTAATAGAATGACGAATCAATAAGAAATATTCATAAACACTTATTTTATGAGTACGTAGTTCCAAAATGTGTAGTTACAATGTACATAATATGATTATGACTCTAATGAATTGGAAACGATGGATGTTAACAATTACTGATAATTTTGTATTCGTAACACAGGGGAAACTAGATAGTATTACTAAAAGCGGATATTACTCATTAAAATAGTTTCCTAGGAAGCTATTGTGTTATAATCGTAGATATTCTGTCATCCATTGTGGCATCAACGATCTCGGTGTTAACGCCTTGGGTTACTCTCAGATTTCAGTTTCTATGACCCAGAAGTAGTAGAGGTACAACTGGTATTAAGCTGCGTCCAAATCCATTGTTTCGTTTCATTGTTGTCAAGTCAATTATGACAATTTCAAATCGTTGAACTCGTTTTACGAATGTCATGGACGTCTTGACGACTGTATCAACGACGGGCCTCGATCTCATTGCTAAATATAATTACAATAATATGTGCCACGGTATCAACCATAATCGTATCTAGACACATAGGTATATAAAGTAATATATGCATATATCCGAGCACGTAAAGGCGATTCAACTTGAGTCTCGCCCAGACATTCGATAAACTTATTTCTGGTCGGTGGATCGGCACTCTGCTATATAGGTAGAGGTAGGTATACCTACTCAGGTACATCGAATTTCGGCCATTGTTCCGAGCACATTAATATTCTAGAGATTACGGTTTTGTTTACGGGTACTCCTCCATTTACAAATTAAACGTATGATAAAACCTTAACTTTTCGCCAAAGTCGAGTCCATATGGATCCATAACTGTACCTACAGCGGGGAATGCGATTAAACTTTATCGGGCACTCAATTAACGCCCCGTTGTTAAAGTGAAATACCAAAATAGCGTTTAATAAAAATAAAGTACTGACACGTTTTTATATAGTTCAAATAATATGTTTTTTTTTAGTACATTGAAAAATATGGCTGTAGATTTTTAATAACAATTTAAAACGGCATGGAGGGTTTACCTATAGTCGTAACACACTTTAAGTGTATGAGATTTGAATTGGATTCCTCCCTTTATAAACGGCTTTATTATACCCCAAATAACACTAGAAATATATTATGTAGGTAGAGTAGTCAAGTTTTGTGTACAGAATAATTTACAAAATATCCAGAATAACCATTGTACGAACACGCGTGATATTCGTACTATTTGTTGACAATTTCTCAACAATGTTCGATTAGAATTTCAAACGAAGTATTATTATTGAAGCATAATTCCATAACGAAGTTTTGTGGGTGTACTAAATAGGTACCTGCTCTACACAAGAACACAAAATGGTCTCCACAGAGGTGTCGTAGAAATGTCCTTCCGCGTTCCGCTACTTTTTCATTAATCGCCATGAAACACTGTGTAATTTGTTTAAAACGACCTCATCCTCATTCCAAACACGTTTCGGATACTACCCTAAAACATCGTTATCGAGTTCTAAAATGTTGACGTTCCAAACTTCAAAACATGAACTTGTTTGTGCGCGTGTGGTAACTACGTCCGACAAATAACTCGATTGACCGACAACTAAAATAAAAGCAATACCGTAGCCCGTAATTATATATAGCGTACCCACTATTATTTACAGTTTTCATTAAATTTAATTGAAATTTGGGATCCTTAATTATTTACGAATAAGAGGTTCAGAATAATACCATTTTTGATTAAATAGTTAGGTCAGATTCAATTGTTCAAAAATCGAGTGGGTCGACGTATCATCTCTCATACAATGCGTGTGTGTAAAATACAATCATCGTGTGTTTGTTTAGTATCATATTATGTTCCTACACACAGGTAAATATTGCCCCGTAATATAATTATTATTCGCTACCTATAACTGTCGTTATACTTTAAACAATAGTTTAGTATAATACTAGGATGCACTCACTGACGGTCATAATATGTATTAATTATCAGAATAATGGGTCTAAATTAATTTTTTCGAGTTTTTTTTATGATACGTTGCAGTTTTTGCATCTTCAAGTTCAAACCCGTTAATGTCAACAGTGTAGAATATGAATAAATTTATCATAAGAATGTATTTTTATTAATACGTTTAACGATTTAATTTATATTAATTTATATGGTTATATCGGTGTACTTTGTACTTGGTATACTAAATTTTTTGTAAATGAATACTTTTTTTAAAATATTTTATATAAATAAAAAAAGAAAGAAAACAATACAATCGTCAGCATGCAAATGTCAGGTGTTATTCAGGCCTTCTGCGTTATATTTGAAACGAATATATAATTAAATTATTATGGTTCAATCACCGTGTTTATTTTATTGTCATAAAATATAGGGGCTATAATAATATATGTAAATAATTATAAATAATTCCATAGGTAGGGCTCATATTATAATATTTTACTTTGAACATACCTAT